ATTTTTTTTATGTGTGCGCGTTGATTTTCTTAAACAAAATACGGTTTTTCTGATTTATTTTTTCATGTTAGAATCAGTTGCTGGCTACATTAAAGGTACCCTTAGACAACGCCACATAAAACATCGTTGATACCCAACAGAACGATATTATCTACATGAAAAAGCAATCAAATCGCGAGTGAGCGTCAAACCGAGCCAGCAATAACGTTGAATGTATTTTTAAGAAGGCTGGGGTGTGACGTGCGTATTTCCATACAAATGTTGCATAATTTACGGACGACACGACTACGCCTTATAAAATTCTTACTTTACGAGATTCATTATGCGGAACCGTCAAACTAACACAGTAGCGCACCCATTTTTTTTTTGTATATACACATTATCTATAGTTATATTCAAAATGAGAAAAAACCTTATTGCTTTTTTATTTGCATCGAATAAGTTCCGAATATTGGACCGAATTTAATTGTTTTTTTTTTAGTACGGGAAGCTACATGCACCGCGCTTGACATAAGTAGGCTATATCTTACGCGGGCTAAGTCATTGGAAAACAGCTAGCCTTAAATAATATTCTGATTTTTATGACTTCACTAGATAGAGTAGCTACCTACTTTTTGAGCTAGTGTTTCACATTGATACTAAAACGAAAGAATAAAAATATTATAAAAAACAAAAGAGGCTTCGAAGTTTTCAAAAACAGGCTTCTATTTGTGCGCACTGAAATTATTATTTTTACGCAAGATAACTTAATTTTTTAACAGCAATTTACTTGAAAAACTTGTAGCGTCAATGAAATCGGAGACGAGGAACGACACATTTGTTTTACATCTTGAAGTAGTATAATGAAACTAAATATCGCCATAATATCGCTAAGATATCGTAAACTATGGCTAGTCATAATCATGACTAGAAGGTCGGGCGGTCGCACCCGTGAACTCTCAACCGAATGAATGCGGCCCTAAATTATTATTGTATTTACACCACATTTCTATACTAATATTACACTAAGTTAAGATATGATTGCTTGTTTAATTTTTACCAACTTTACGACTGACTATTCGAATTTCTTTTACCTACAAAAAGCTACGTCATATACGCGTGATAATATTTTTGTTGCGTGACAGAGTGACGTGGGACGTCATGAACAAACGCATATATGTAATATAATAATAATAATAATAATACTTTATTGTCACACCATTCTTACAGTCGCAAAGATTATAACATGAAATTTACAAATAAAATAAAACACGATGTGCTAGCACTTGGCGGTCTTATCGCTAACAGCGATTTCAACCAGACAACCTTTGGATGGAGAAGAATGAAAAGCAGTTATGAAAAACGGAGGTGTAGAGTAAGAGTACGTAAATTCAAGATAAATAAGTAACATTTAGTAAAGTTGCATTAATACTTATAAGATATTTAAATTTAGAAAATATATACATAAATACAAATAGGTAATATATACATAAGATATATATAATAATATACTTTTGTGAAACGAGGAAGGGTTTTAGCAACTTATAGAATAACAAAGAGAAATAATGGTTTTTAACCAGTTCTTTGAAGATAGTGATTGATTGTGCCTGTCTTATGGAAACCGGAAGAGCATTCTAAAGGCAACATCTTGGACGGTAAAGGAGCCATCATAAAAGGTAGTTTTATGGAGAGGAGTTTCAAGTTTCAGGTTTTCCGATGATCTCAAAGAATGTGTAGTGGAACAGTATAGAGGATCAAATCGTTCTTTCAAATAGCGCGGGAAACGGGAATAAAACAGAATATTATAGAGAAGAGATAACATGTGAGCATTCCGGCGAAGTCGAATAGGAAGCCACTTGAGCTGAGTACGAAATTGAGATATATGATCATATTTACGTAATCCAAATATGTAATTATGTGAATAGTTGTTTCGCTTCTATTGTAAACATTTTCACGATTTGATAGTAGGTATAATCGTTATAAAAGCGGATGTATCAAACTAGAAGTCACTACGCTACTTACTTTGAAACAGTTTCTTAAAACCTCCCTAGGTTTAACAAAAAAAAATATCTTGAACACCACCCAACCTAGATTCCTGTAGTCTGTGCTGTAGTGAAAGAATTTTTAAAATCAGTCTAGAAGTTTCACAGTTTATTATTAAATACAAATAAACAAACAAATTATCATATCTTTCTTCTGTATAATATAATTGTAGATATAATATGTTTACTTGGAAAATTTCTAACAACGTGTTGGTGCCTTTTTTATCTGAAGTAACCTCTCTCTTCAATAAAAACAAACATTGAACAATTTTCTCTTCTTTCGGTTATCAATAAAGGTAAATAAAATCTTCCGCAGTTTCGCCATGTAATAGAGACAGAGAAAATGTAGAAAGATTTTTTGTCCACCTTGACCTAGCCAGGAATTAATCGACAGATTTTGAAATTAGCTACTCGCCTAAGGCTGGAAGTTATGATTATACCTATGTAATTTAGTATTGTGTATTTGTATGTCAGGAGACGACATTATTATATTACATCGATGAGAATTGTAACCTCACTCAAAACAATATAGAATCGCTTCTCTACTGATGCAAACTACAACTCCAAAAACAGACCTTCGACAGTCGTAATAAATTCAGTATTGCATTGTGCGTTCATAAATTGTAGGTGAGATCGTCGTTCATGCTGGGCTAACCTTATATTCTCGAAGAATGGTTGGTAAATTTTCAATACTTCACTTTATTAGGGGCGAAACGGCAGGAGGGTAAAAACGGCCCTTATTAGATTTTCTGGAAACGTAAGTAGATACTATACGAACTGCATAGCCTGCTTCCGACACCTTGATATTGAAAAATCGGTATAAATAAAGTTAATAAACAGTTTCTGGCAAGCTAAATTGAGCGTTACGAAAATATGTTGGAAACCTAACACTGAATATAAGAACATCATGTAAACCAAAAAAGGATTGATCTGAGTGAAGGAGTTCTTAATCACTCGACTTAAAATGTAGGTTCCGAAATTTCTTAACATCATTAATAGTTATTAAAATTAACTGGAGAATTTTTCATGTCTGTTTTAGTATTTTAAGAAAGAAACAATAATATTTATTTTTTACAATGACAAACGACAACTTACAAATTTTTCAGGATTACAAGAAACAGTTAAACGAAATCCACATATCATGATTTAGGTTATATTAGGTGATAGTAGTTAAGATTATTGTATTATACCAAAAATCTAATTTTAAAAGATAACTATTCTAAATAACATTTAATATTCAATGAACATATTTTATGTTTTTTTTTGCTAGAAAATAATGAGTTTTAAAGACAATGCATTACAGCTCCTTTTAGTTTCATATGGTCTGTAGCGCAATGGTCAGCGGATTCGATCTACGACATTCAACCAGCTTTTGCAACTCCCGGTCAGAAGATGGGTGACCAAAACTTTATCATCTCGAACTCTTTGCTCCGGAAAGCACGTTAAACCAATGGTCGCTTTGAGTACTGTGCCCGAGTGGTTCCCCCTATATATCAATTCCTTCCATAGGTATGGCTTATGCCAGAACAGGGGACATAAACAGGCTGATAAGGAGGAATTTAAAATAAATAAATACGAAAAAATTATATTATCTATGTTCGACTCAATTGTTGACACAAAATGATGACGTTAAGATCAACCAATCACCAATTTTTACCTACAGCAATTTATACATTACAGATGACTCAAAGCTGCCTGTCGGTATCATTCCATATCAATATTGCACTGTCATCTACATTTTAATAATAATAATAAAGCATTTATTTTGCCAACACACAACACAACCCGGTATAAAACAAACAAGACGATTATTACATACAAGAATTTAAAGTATAATGTTGTTTGCTGTCAAAACTGACCTCAGCTCAGCGTTAGCAATGGGTTTATAAAATTACTAGCGGTTACCCCGCGATTTTATCCTTGTTAAATTTTCCGACGACTTCGCCCGCATATATTAAAGCCTTTATCACCCTATCCCATAGCTCCTATGATGTAGCTTCGCGTAGGTGAAAGAATTTTTAAAATCAGTTCAATAGTTTTGGAACCTATTAGATACAAGCAAACAAACAAATCTTTTCGCTTTATAATATTAGAAAAGCATAATTTCAGTTCTATCGAAAACACCGAAAACACACTGTGTGACGACATCTAGTAACAATTAAAAGAACTGTAGAAACTCATAGTATGCTTTTTGTTAAATTAGTAAGTACAAGCTAGATGGCGCACTTGTGATGCTGTGATTGACTTAGTGATGCGACTCGAAAAGAATATTGTGACTCGTGTCACTCGAGTCGTTTTACTTTCCACTCTACGCTCGAATTTTCGAGTTACTCTAGGAAATAATCTCACTTTATTTAAATAATTATATAAATATTAGGAAACATCACAAACATTGCTCAGATTCTGTGAAGAGTAGCTAAAGCTCCTGTATTATGAAAAATCAGAGACAACGCAGATACTGAAGGCACACACAACTGGGTGTCAGGTTACTACAAAATAATCTAAGTGAAATAGATTACTAAAGTGACATCTACACATATAGATCAAACCTGCTATAGTTTATTTTTTTCTTGTGACGGTTCCTATTTTTACCTGGTGTAGAAAAATGTCTTCATATCTTCTCCTTAATTAATCATTCATTTTATTGTAGTAGTCGACATGCTAACTATTTACGAATTAAAATTCAAAAAAAAATAAGTATCAATATGCGTCACTGTTGGTTACCGGTCAATGAGGAAGTATTTAAAAAAACATTAGTTCCTGAAATCAAACTTGATGTCACTACGGTAATTTCTTGATTTCTCTATGACTAACCTTTCGGTTTTCTTTCATATTATATAAAAGTAAATTAATTTTAAAACTCGATAAACAACTCATATCTAAGTTCCGAACTTAGCAAACTTCAGTTTTTTAATATGTTAGTTAAAAGTAACGGAAATGACTATCTTTGGTCCATTTTTTTCCTGCAAAAATCAACTTTTGGTAGAGTCATATAGTGAGGTGCTTTATAGTGCTTTCTTTTTTTTCTTAAAATACTTCCACATTCATAAACACACTTTAAAATTAAAAGAAATAGTTAATTTTCAGCAAATTTTGCTATAAACATTAAAAACAATATTTCTTATTTGAAATATCAGTGGCTTTTGGTAATTTTCACAAATATTCACTACAATTTCCACTTGGACTTGACAGTTGTCAACAGCAGGCAATTTATATTGCCATATGAAAATCGAGATTTTTCTTTTACTTTTGCCCGACTGCGCGACGCAAAGGAAGGTAATGTGTTTATCAGTCCATGTATGTACGTATATTTGTTTTTATGTGGCGTTCTAGAGACCAAATGCGTAGGTTGATTTTGATGATCCTTACGTCAATCGATTCATCTTAACCTTGCGATTGTCACTAAAGACATGACAATAATCATGTCTTTAGTGACAATCGCAACAATTCACCACAGCTATAACCAGACATCATATTGTCGAAATGAAAAAAAAAACGATGAACTATGTCAAGTGGGGTGTCGTTGAATAGGTATTTAAAATATATAACGATTTAAAATTGTTTAACAAACGATGAAACGCCAATTCAAATTTATCAATCAAATCATTCCAAGGGGCCCTGACTGTGAGTCGTTCTGTTCTGCATTAGAATTTATGATTTGTGTTATGTGTGTATCGATTATAAAACTATTTCAATTGTGTAGTTATTTAGTATCACTTAACAGAATTCTAAACTACTGGACTAGTTTCTTTCTTTTTTTAGTTTTTATTTCAGTTAATTTTTTCATGTATTTTTAAACTGTATTCGGATGCAGTCGGTTTGTTGTTTTTCTTTTTTACCATCAGATTTCAGTACACCTATGCAACTTAATACGTGGAAACCAGTCACTAACGTATAAAATCAATCAATTTAAAACGAATCGAATATTAGTTAATTATGATTAAAAAAATCACATCACTTAACAAAATGACAAGAGAATTTTTAAGGTTATGTTTGTGATGTGTCAGAAAATTAGATTTTGGAAAATTTCAATAAGATTTTAGGTTCTACAAATGGTTAATAATTGTATTTACCCAGATTTGAAACTTGAAATTGCTGATTTTTTAAATTAATACACAATGGCTGTGGTCATAGAAACGACACTTGGTGATATCACTGTAGATTTATATTTGGACCAGCGTCCTGTATCATGTTTGAATTTTTTGAAGTTGTGCAAAATGAAATACTTCAATTTTAACCTCTTTCACACCATAAGAAGCGGCTTTATTGCACAAACGGGTGATCCTACCGGAGAGGGGTCGGGAGGCCAATCCATTTTTGGTATATTAGAAGGACCCGAGAAGCGATTCTTCTCAGGTGAAAAAATGCCAAAAATTCGTCATACTAATGCCGGTTTGCTGTCCATGGTTTGTTCTGACGACATGATGATTGGATCACAGTTTTTTTTCACACTGGCATCTGACTTGGATTCTCTAGATGGAGTACATTGTGTAATTGGAGAAGTAACTGAAGGCCACGAAATACTTCGAAAATTAAATGAAGTAATTTGTGATGAGACTCATAGACCATATCAAGATGTAAGAATTACACATACTGTAATATTAGATGATCCTTTCAATGATCCCCCTGGTTTTCATACTCCATCTAGATCTCCATCCCCTAGTGCAGAAAGATTGAAAGGTGGCAGGATTGCACCTGATGAAGAAATTGATGAGACTCAAGGCAAGACTGCTGAAGAAATTCAGGAAATTATTGAAGAGAAAGAAGCTAAAGCTCGGGCAACTATTCTTGAAATTGTTGGTGATTTACCAGATGCAGACATAGCGCCCCCAGAAAATGTTCTTTTCGTTTGTAAACTAAATCCGGTCACAACTGATGAAGATTTAGAAATTATCTTTAGCAGATTTGGAAAAATTGTAAGTTGTGAAGTCATTAGAGATAAGAAGACAGGTGATTCCTTGCAGTATGCTTTTATAGAATTTTCTGATAAGAAGTCTTGTGAAGATGCATACTTTAAAATGGATAATGTTTTGATTGATGACAGACGTATACATGTAGATTTCTCACAGTCAGTATCGAAGATGAGGTGGCTTGGTAAAGGCAGAGGTGTACAACATTTCGATGATGATGGAAACATAAAAGGGAATCAGTTTCAAAGCAAGTATAACCAGGATCATGACAAAGATCATAAAAGAGAGAGACACAATCATCGTCATCGGGGTGAAAGAGATCGATCACCAAACAACAGATATAAGAGTGATAGAGTCAATGAAAGGAAAGAAAGGATGCAGTCAAGAGACTACAGTAGTAGGAAAAGTGAGAAAACTGAGAGACATCGTCGGAGAAGCAGAAGTGAAGAAAATAATGAAAGACGAAAAAAATATGTAAATGAGAAGCAAAATAAAGTTAGGAGTAGAAGTAAATCTGAAGAAAGACTAATGAGTAAACATGAAAAATCTAGAAATAGACCTACAAATCATAGAAATAATGACAGTATATCTAAGTCTAGGCAATATGATAAATCACAGGTCCATAGAGCAAGTAAATCAGATATGAATTATAGTGATAAACAAAGAAATAACAGGTCAAAATCTCCCACTAGATACTGTAAAGACAAAAACGTTGAAGTACTGGAACAAAACAATGATGTCGGAAGAAAACACAGTAATAATAATAACAATAATAAAAGGCATAAGTCTCATAGTAGAGATGATTTGCTCATCAAAAAATTAAAGTTAGATTCAAAGAAAGAAAAATCAGATATAACAGAGAAGACAGTAAAGAAAAAGCATAACAAACATGTTGAACCTCAAACGCCATCACCTGCAAAAGAAAAAATTAATAAAACAGTTAAGAAACAATCAGAAAATACTAAAGACTATAAAAAAAGAGTAGTCAATAAAAAAAAGAAGCGAAGGCCATCAACATCCTCATCAGAGACTGATTCTTCAGAATCAAGTTCTTCAAGTACAGAGTCTAGTTCATCTAGTGATTCAGATAACAGAAATAAAAAAAGATCTAGAAGGAAGAGAAAATATTCATCATCAAGTAGCAGTGAATCTAGTGACAGTACTACAAGTTCTAGTAGTTCAGACTCAAGTAGTTCAACCAGTTCAAGTTCTGATAGTGAAATAGACAGAAAAAGAGCAAAGAAAACGAAAAAGAAGATTGTTAAAAAAGCCAAGAAAAAAGCATAAAAACTCTTCTTTGATATTTGTTTCCTAGATTGCTATTAACATTAGTAAACTATTTTAATCAACTGGGGAATCATATTATTATTTAATTTTTGTTTACAAATGTTCAGATTCATCCATCCCTCATTCAACTAATTTATTTATTGAATCTAAAAAGTAATAAGAATCTTCTAAAAATTATAATTTATTTGTATCATTAGCACAGGCCTTTTATATTAACTACAAGAAATATGGTAAAATGATTTCCTTATTTAATTTATAAAATGAGGAAAAAATACATTAAAACAATATTGAAAACAGTGTTGAATGTTTTCAATTCTATGTTTCGATCTTGTCTAAAGTGCCGTTGTATAACTAAGTGTCAGTCAGGAACTAACACTATTTGTTTTATTAATCCAAACTCATGTTTTAATGTAATGCTATTATATAAATACTTATAGGCACATTTAAATTATTTGTTGTAATACATAAATATATGTACAAATTATGTAAGACTAGAATTCCTTTATCTACTCAATGATAAAAATAGTGCCAATTCTGTACCATGCTTTAAACTAAACTTATAAAAATTACATTAATTTCAATTTGACTATTTTTACGTAATTCCTTTAAAATAATTGTACATTCAAAAGCAGCATGCTTACTTTCGAACGCAATTGCGACCGATCGACATAGAAATTGTGCCGTTTTGTACTTTTGATTGAGTATACTGGCGCCAGAGTATGCTAGTGAACCAATCAAGAGTGCGGAGCGGCACAATTGCAATGTCGATTGGTCGCGATTGCGTTCGAGAGTAAGCATGATGGTCAGTTTATACATGTGTGTCAAATTTATCTACATGATTTTAAGTCTAAATACTTTCAGAGTTTAAAATCCACTCCAATGATTATACATAATTTTTCAATTCTTAGGAAATTTGCAGCTAATGAAATGTTAAAGTAGAAATGTAAATATTTCATAACATGATAAAAAGAACTTTCAAATAAGTTACCAACTAACTCAATCAAGATATGAATTTCTCAATATACAATTACATGTAATACACGACATAGTTTTTAAAGATGTAGTTTAACTTATTGGTAGGTAGTATAGTCACCATCTTGTTAATTTTAAGTGTTTCTTGACTGAGAAATTGTTTTTATTATCTATGGAATATACAAATATAGGTAGCATGCAATATTAAAAAAATAATTGCAATTGAAAAAAAAAGGAATAGTAACATCTAGTAATTTTTCTTCTAGTTAGTAATATTATAATTTAGGTAATGCCTTTATGTCTTTTGTGTCAAAATACATAATTATGTCATAATTAAATTGGTTTCTTTTATCACAAAACTTTGCTTATGTTAGTATTGAAGTTGCACTTATTATCATCTAATTATAGAATTTCAACTTCTTATATAATTTATAGATTCTTCACAAAAATATTATATTCCGACTTCTTCGTTATACCTATATACTAATGAAACTTCTTAAAGTAATAACAATGAGGGTATAAACGACTGCAAGTGCAGCCAGGAGCGACGACATAAAGTGCCTTCCGAAGCACGGATTAACTAGAGATAATATCGGGTTGGCACAAGTAATGAGACACTTGGTTTAAGTTTTTACTATTATTATTACAATAAGAAAAGTTTACTCAATGATGTAATTACCATTGAGTAATTACCGATCCGGCAAAGTTTGGATGCCTTTTGCCCAGAACTCTGATGGCTGTGCCTCGAAAAAGTTGTTCAACTCCGCCTCTACGTCAGAGAAATCATTAAATTGTTTACCCCGCAAATGCTGTTTCAGGGCTTTTAACAAATGATAGTCTGATGGGGCGAGGTTTGGGGAATAAGGTGGGTGGGGTATCGTCTCCCAGCCCAAGTTCTCCAACTGCCGGCGAACCACAGATGCGACGTGAGGTCGAGCGTTATCGTGCAGTAAAACTACATTGACTCGTCTTCGTCGTTTTTTCTTGATAGCGACAGATAATTTGGTAAGCTGGGTTGAATATTTGTCAGCGTTTATAGTTTCATTGTGTAATAGCTCATAAAACAGTATGCCTTGCGCATCCCAGAAACAGCAAAGCAGAATTTTTCGGCGGTTCTTTTGACTCGGCTTCGGTTGAGTTGGTGGCGTTTCTTCTCGAGGCAGCCAAAAAGCACGACGTGTATCGTTCTCGTAATAAATCCATGATTCATCTCCAGTAACCAGATCTGACAAAAACTCTTTACGTCGGGGTCGCAGCAAAAATGACTGACAGATAGCGACACGGACTGCACGACTGGCGTGTGTAAGGATGTGCGGTACCCACCGAGCCAAAACTTTTCGATAACAAAGCTCATGCAGATGGTGTACCACGGCGTGGTGACTGCATTTAAGTGCTTCCGCTAATTCACGAGTGGTAGCATCCGGATTCAACTGCAGTTCGCGGCGCAAATCGTCATCATTCACTGCGGGTGGTCGCCCTGAGCGTGGCTGACTTTCAAGGCTCCTGTCTCCTGATTTAAAACGGTCAAGCCATCAGGACACCGTCGCATGGCTTGTACTTCCAGCGCCTAATGCATTGTTGATATTGTCAGCCGCAGCCCGCGCACTGTGGCCTAACAAGTACTCGTATAAGTATAGTGTTCGAACTTGTCGCTCGTCCATTTTTCTTCAAACTGACTAAACAAATCGCGAGCGCGGCTTTATATACCCTACACCAGAAGTACCTAGAATGTTCTACAACATTCTAGAATATTATCGAAAAAATTGATTTTAAAAGGAAATGTTATAGATTTTCTAGTGTGTCTCATTACTTTTGTGCCAACCCAATAGTTTTTTGATCGCCGAGTGACCGACTCTTGCGAAAATTGCTTAAGCGGGCCGCGACGCTTATCCACTACGCAACCGAGCTAAATTAATAACCCTTATAGCGTAGTTATTTACAATTGTCGATTACATCCGCGTGCGGCATGCGATTGATTTCTGTTTCTCGCTTTTATTGGTCGATTATTGTTTTTCTGGCCAATGAGAAGAATGCGCAAAAGTCGTCCGCGTTCAGCATATTGCCTACGTCGACCAGTGTAACTGAACCGATTGAAGCCTACTCACTAAAACTCTACGGTATACTATCCCGGTTAGGGGTAGGCCACGAAGCAAATACTCAGGTAAGTGCTGTGAGATGACGCAAGCCGAGTTCCCCATATTAAGACGCGTAATACCTAATGAGTCTCTTTTTTTATGGGATAGGCGGCAGACGAGCAGACGGATCACCTGATGGTAAGTGATTACCGTCGCCCATGGATACCTGTAACACCAGACGGGCTACAAGCGCGCTGCCGGCCTTTGAGGGACGAATATGATCATAGGGAGGGAAGGGTTGAGGGGTAGAGGGAAGGGAATAGGGAGGGGTTGGGCCTCCGGTACCCTCACTCACACGACGAAACACAACGCAAGCGTTGCTTCACGTCGGTTTTCTGTGAGGCCGTGGTATCACTCCGGTCGAGCCGGCCCATTTATGCCGAAGCGTGGCTCTCCCACAGAACCATGCAATAGGTACAGGGTGGCTGCCTACTTGCTCCCGCTGGTTCTAACAGAGGGGGGGATGCGCTAATACGCGATCCCCCCTTTTTCTTTGCGTCGAAGTGATCCGTCCAGGCTCCCCACAGGTTTCACTCTCAGTGCTCCCTTTCCTTCTCTTCAGATTTCATGCCGCAGTTTCATCATCTGTCGCGACCCGTCACGGCCGTCGAGGGCTACTAGGTTATTTATAATACTACTAATGTACCAATGTATATCTGTGGCTTAAAAAAAACAAATATTAAAACCAAATACCTACCTAACAAGCGCAGGTTTTTAAAATTCGCTAAGTTTCCTTTAAACTTTACCACATTGACACATTCACGATTGATTTCTTACAGTAATTTTATAGGTACCGTTTATTAAGGAAAATTTGATAAATATATATATAAGTCACCGTAACCGAGGTCGTTATTTATGTTGCACTTCACAATAACGATAATAATTTGTAAGTAATTTATCAAAAACACGTTTTTGACGCGCACGCACAACGCCATTGAGAATGCTGTCCCTATCACTCTTATTGGAGGAACAATGAGACGAACTGGGACAGTCTTTTGGCGTTACACCCCGTCTTAAGACTGGGTGTAAAGACAAAAGTGGTGAAGTGTCGAAATCAATGCGTTCTCAATTAACATAGAGGCAAGATTTTTAATTAATTACCTAGCAAACCGTTATGATCATTTTTCAATCTTGATTCGTGGCTACAAAGTGATTCATATTTTTATCAAGTTTCTTATTGATCTTACAATTAAACTTAGATTATACTTTAAATGCAATAAAAAGGTAATCTCATTGAATGTTTCTATAAAAATAGTAATAATTTATTACAAGAAAGTAAAACAAAATGTAATAAATGTTTTATTTCATAAAACCTTTGAGGTCACCTTAATGACGCTTAACTGTTTTTCCTACTATAGTGAAAATAGACCTAGTCTAACCTAAGCTCTGAGTTGTGAGATATTTATTTGTTAATATTATTTCGTATATTGTGAAAAAAAAAATTCAATATACACCTACCTACTTACAAGAAAATTTTATTGTTGTTAAAGTAAGATCTAACAATGTAATTCGTATGATACGCCTTTACCTTTAAACCATTGATTGAACCAACATACGTGTAAGTAGCACATGTTTACAGGACGTGCCGGTACTCTAGTGGAACATTCTATGGTTCGAACAGTTCCCTTTGTGTGCTAAGTGTCTGAACGAGAAGATGACCGGTTAAACTCGCCTTTTGTGCTCCTCGAGCCGATATGCTAACACATTGTGTGATTTATATTTGTAATCTTTGTCATTCAACTTGCGCATTCGATCTTAGTGTTTCACTATAAAGTCATTTACAAATTAAATCTATCTAATTGGCCCATTAATGAAAATGCGCTGAAGTATGGATGGATAACCATAGACATTAAATATAAAGAATATACACCACCTCGTCTGTAGAGATAAGCACTGTTTGTTATTGAAATAATTTCGAAGAGGCTTTGCGCCGATGGGATTTTCTTTCACATTGATGGTTCTTAGTCGGGTCATAAGGTTTCCCCCCAAAGGACTAAGGACCGTAAGACAACTAATATTCATTTCAAATGAAGTCAATCACAATATTGGTTTCTTTTCAATAGGTTTTGTACCGAGAAGTAAATAAGAGAATATTATTTCCACGCCATGTATCCAACTCCAAATAAGAAAACTCCACATAATATTTCCTATAGATATGATTATGTCACAGACAAAATTTTCTTGACAAATAACAAATACCTACCTAGCCATATTTTTTATCACATTAGAGTAATCAATCAATCTTGATCTCAATCCCGCCAGGGGGTATGGACACATCATATTGTATCACATCTACGGTGGGACGACCTTGCCCAGCCTGATACAAATACCAACTTTCAGTATGGAGATTAAACATAAAAACATAACAGCTGTTTTTTTTTATTATGATGGTATCATATATTTCCTTTTTAATATATGAATTAATCCAACGACATTTTCTTTCGGATTATTAGTAAAAAAATAAAATTCCTTTATTTTCTCAATGGCATGATAAGCAAAATACATAGAAAGTGACTTCTACGTATTTTCACGCTGTTACTTATGTTACCTCCATGAAATACATAAATCTTCCTAATATTATATTTGGAAACTATATTTTTATATAACACAGACAATAAATATTTAAAAAATATTTATGAAAAAATCATATTAACAATGAAATACGACTTCAATCGATATTATTATATTGCGTTAAGTATATTTTGTTTTGAATCCAATGAAAATTTCCATGGGAATATTGCATACCAATAGCCTAATAATTATTTATGATGCAAAAATATAACCCGCAATATATGCAGAAGACTTTTGAGTTAAACACGATTAAAAATCATTAAAATCCACTCAGAAATACTTTAAATAAAAGTTTTATCATATTAAAGTAATAAAAAAAAAAGTTAAAAATAATGTTAAAAAAAAATCAATTTCCTATAATTTTTTTGTTGGATTTCAGTAATTTTCATTGTCGCTACGATAAATAAAACCAAAATTTGTGAAAAAAGTCGTGTTAGTAATTTTGCGTGAAGGAGATGAAGGTTTTTGACTTGATGTTTTTTTTATACCTTCCGTAGCTAAAAAGAGATGGATTCTTAAATATAGTCTCTTGTAATTGGCTCACAAACTCGATTAAAAATATTCCAGGCTTATATCGAATTATTTCCGTTTTTCTCGTATTTGTATCAGGCTAAGTAAGAGACTGTTTGACTTGATGGCGGAAGCGCAATAAAGGGACGGGATGGTGAATGGCAAGTTTAAAACTGTATAGTACTTAATACTTACAAACCTTTTCCATTGTTGAAAAGTGTGCATATAGCCCTCGGTTACAAAGTCATATGTTTATCAATTTTCCTATGTAATATGAGTTACCAGAAGAGAAGTGAAAAAATTGTTGATATTATGGGTTACTTTGTATTTTTTTCTATAGTGAAAATCGTGTTTTGATTATGACAGATGCCATAATCATATGATGTTATTTATTGGTACAAAACCAATGGGAAGATAGTATTTTTTTGATAAAATAGACTCTTGATCAATAGGTACGGAGCTTTCTAAAACAACATCTATTTTTGACCATGGTATAAAGACTAGCTTCCATCGCGAGCACAATTTTTTGATACTTCACCTTAAAAGTATTATTCTCTAAGTATTTTATAAATGAAAATAGTGTAGCTTTTCGTATTTCAATTAAGTAGTCATAGTTTGTACAAATAAAAATTATAAGCAGTTAAAGCATTTTTCAACGTCGATATAAGTTCCGATATAGATATTATATTATCATCACTAAACCTATATAATTTGCATCAGTTTTATTGGCTATCTTATCTATAAATAATAATCCAGAAAATAAGTTTCATAGTCTTTAAAGTTGGCAACGTATGTAACTTCGTAAGTTATTTATTAGATTATCTTATTTAATATGCAAAAATCGTATGTGAGTGTGATCTGGACGGTCAGGGGCGGGCACAAGATACCTAAAATCTTGTTGCCCACCAATCACTATAATCAAATGCCAAGGGTATATTCAAGTCACTTTCATCTGGTTCCACTCAAGCAAATTAGCGAAGACATGCAATCGTCCTTCAACTCCTAGTTGCCGAGAAAAAAGCAATAACATGTTTAATGTAATGTAATTAATAAGTTCCGACGCCTTCAGTGTCCCGTCTTTCATTCCACACAATAAAATAAGGCATATTTTATTAAGGGCTTGTTTAGCTCAGCAGCCTCAGACGTCACTAGACAGGGAGGCATTGAGTCTAAATTGGCAACTAATTCCAAAATTTCTATAACTCCAGACTAAGAACGAAGCATCCCTAATGAGTGTGTGCTCGTTGAATTTTTCTTAACAAGAACTTTGATGATATAATATACAGGGTCTGATAATGGAACCTTCGTAGCCAAGAGCAAGGTTTATATATAACGCAAACGAAGACACTGGGAGAAAGCTGGTTTTTAACAACTTACATTACACAACAACTTTACAAACGAAAAGACTAGCAAATATCGATTTTAATCGGTTTTTGTTACAACGGTATTACTTACATACATCTTTCTAAAATTTAAGAGCCTAGTTCTATTTGCAAGGGTTCGACTTGTATTTAGCAATCGTTATGATACATGAAGTTCGTCTCTGTAGTGACCACTGCGCATGTCGCGAATTTATCGACAGCAGCAATAGGTTTTCTCTCCAGCTTGAGCTCAGACGGACGACACTCGCTCCCTGCGTGCCACACATAAGCATCCGGTATTCAAAGACTTCTATTATCACTTATTGTAAAATAAAGAAACACTGCTCTGAAAGTCTCAATCGAAACAATGTTACTATTTACTTCAACCGCGATACTCGCGGTTTTATTCGTCTGTGACGCTGTTCCTACGCCGTCTAACAACAAAGGTAAGTAAGTTTAACAATTGATTTTTAATTTTGTACTTTAATATTTTCTTCTTCAGGTACTAGTTTGCTCTTGATATGATACCTGTTTTTGACCTCCATAATTATTTTGCAAGATCTGACAAGGTATTGATTAGCAAACTGAAGGCGGCCACCTACGTTCTATATTTAGCAACAGGTGTTCCTTTCTCGCTGTTTTGTTGCTGCGTAGATATCCTTTATTACGCAGGGCCGGCCGGTTCGAGCAAAATGAGCCTTCTTAGGCACTAATAGGCAAAAAGAAAAATTAACTTAACCGACTACTGAAAATTCAAATTTTAAAAATTATAAATGAATAATCTCGTCTGAAACTGTAATACACAGCGTAGTTGTTTTCAGGCGACTTCGGCGCGTATGTTGTAGTTTTTCGTAGATGAAATATTTTTTTGAAATTTGTCCACTAGTTTCGTAGCATATTCGATGCATACAAATATAAAATGATCAAATCTTTCCCCTTTGTAATATCAGAAAGACAAACAATACAAAAGCTACTAATCAATATTTGACATCCATTAATAAAATAAAAAACTGAAACGTATTTATTATCATAAATCTGAGTACTTATCAATCATATTTATGTTCAGGGGATAGTGGTGTAAGATTTATAGTGACTTTTTCACCTTATCCTAAAGCTTATCATGATCTCTTATTAGTGTTAAAATGTGTACTGTTTTGTAGGGTAATATTTTGTATTCATATAAATACATTAAAATTTACTATGTCAAATCAGTTGAATACAATATTCGAGACCTAAATATTAAATATTTTGAAAACATTATTTCAGTTGATTTATATTTATATTGTTTTTAGATCGTGATTTTTCAGTAGCAGTACATACTACAAATTATAATAAAACATGCTCAGAATAATATATTTTCATGTGAGGGTTGATAATGCTTTTATGCAACTACTACATTAGTGAATGATAAATCAAAGGTGACGTTACTTGAGTTGATGTTTGTTAACACTAACCCTATAATTTATAAATTTGCTGAGGCACCATATATATAATAAATAGGGAAAAATTCTAACGTCGGTAGCTTTTTATATAAATATAAATACTGAAAACGTCAAATTTGACCAATCAATATGATTTATAGGATTATCAGATTTTGGTTGAAAAACAATATATACCTAACACAATAAATAAACTAAGACGTAGATGGTACCTATTATACGTAGTTCCACGCACCCTTCTCGTCGCCAATATTCAGAAAATTAGAAGGGGGTACTTACAATTGTTCAGAAAATAGTTTTGCGCTCTTATTTTAGATGGAGGTCCTATTGGTGAATTGCCAGAAAATTGGGACCAAACAAAAGATGACACCCAATCTCTGTTCCTGAATAAAAGCGACAAGAACGATTTGGAACCATACCCGTTAGCTCTCAGCGAGGAAGGTCTGTAACCAATAAGGTTTTCATTTTATTTGACACTAGAAAAAGTGAAAAACTGTCACTACAGGATAATAGACCGCTCTTCTTTATAAGAATTGATTTTGCTGACTCTCGAACTCCTTAGTTTAGAACCAAGTATTAACGAAAAATAGATTACACGAAGGAAATCTGCACCTGAGGTTTTTCCTTTCTAGTGTTTCAATATCATTTATTATTGATACTATGACCACGACTTATACTAAGGTATATTACTTAAAGGTATAGTACTTTTATTTAAATGAAAGTCACGGAAATTAAACCTTACAGGCAATGCTGAAGGCTACGAGCAAGGTGTGGACCAGCGTTTTGATTCTCCACAATCAACAGGCGAACTCGACAATCTCATCATGCGACCAGAATTATATGGGGAACCCCCTGCAATGGAGGGTTTAGCTCCTGGCTATGAATCTCGACGGCGCAAACGAGGTAGCGGTACAAAAGTGGGCGGAGCGGGAGCAGCCACTAAAGTAGCCACAAAATCAGGTTCTGGAAAGAAAAACCTTAAGTAAGTTTGTTATCATTTCCATTTTCTAAATCACCTATTTAATTTATTGCATTCTAATTATAAATTATTCTTCATTTTCTACCAGGCCTGAAGATCATGATGCTCTTTCTCCTATCGACTCAATTGCTCAAGAACATGATGCTCATCGGCGAAAACGTGGTAGTGGAACTAAAGTGGGTGGTGCTGCTGCATCTGCTAAGACAGCGACTAAAAATTCTGGTGGCAACAAGAAAAACTTTAGGTAAACTATTTCGTGATTAAAATTTTTCTGCACCATCTTTTTTTTGACATGCAATTTTTGAATAATATTTATTTAAAAACGATTTCTTTTAGGCCAATATCTGAGAGACGCAAGCGTGACTCTGGACTAAGTGCAGCTGACGTTCGGGCTCTTCTTAACTTATGGGAAGCTCAAGAGAGAAGGAAACAAGAATATAATAACCAATGGGCGGCTGATCGTTACTACGGACGCATGAATGATGCTGAAGATGATCAGCCTGAAGTTGACGAAAACGGTGACATCTGGTACAATGAGCCCGTAGTTATTGGACCACGTGAGCGAGACTTCCCTCATCATTCATATTTTTCAGAACAAAACCGTATGGCTTTAGCACGAGGTTACCCTGATATGTACCAAGTAGACCCCTCTGAGCTCGCTCAAAGATATGAAGAAGCGCGTCGCAAGAGGCAATACGCCAACAAGATGAAGAGATTTATGGTTGCCCGAAAACGCTCAGACAACTTAATGCACCAGAGCAATTACCGACCTAGAGACGACCTATACACATTAGCTGAATTGTTGCGTTCTGCGCCCAGAGTTCAAGAACAGGACATTCCTGTGTACCGGCGGCTGATATTGTAAGCTGTCTTTAGGAATACGACGTCCAATCGAACTGTCCTGCTCCACTCAAGTTATAAAAGACCTTGAAGAAGCTTCTTCATAAATTTATAGGACCTTATCTCTTGCGGACGTCTTTGAGGCCAAAAATGGGGTAGAATGAAAGATTGTCGCGCATTTAATTCGCAGTGTGTAGCGGATAATACCTACCTACCAAATTAGGATTATAGAAACTTTTATATTATAAGTTCCGCTTAAGTTTTGTCATGTTTGAAGAATGGCCTAAAAGAATTTATCTATCGATGTGTATTAATTTAATAAAATATGTCTGTCTGATGAACAAAACAATTACATTTATTAATTTATTTTTTATGATATATAATATTATATATTTCCCTACCTCAGTTCTCAGCATATCTATTTCTCAATTTATACATGGTAAAATTATAATCAAATTCTAGATAGGTAAATGTCTAGTTTTCCGAATATTAATAGTGTTATGTGAAGTGAGACTTCACTTTTATTAAGTAATATAGGTATTTAGAAATAGATATATGTGTAAATGGCACGTAAAAACTGGTGTATTAAAATAGAATTATCTTATAATTCGAGTTTTATTGTGCTTGCACTACTGTAGTAAAAAATACGCACGCAAATATATTCAAATACAACAGATGAACTTATTGCTCATGAGCTCAATGTCACCCAGGTAAACGTAGAGTATCACTTGGGTATTAGGGAGCAACAAACACAACACTTTCATATAAAAACAATCTCCATGCAATATTGTTTGTGATACGTAATACTATACCCGCCTAATATTTAACCTACTCTATAGGTACACCAACTAAATTAAAAGTAAAATGCCTTTTGAATCATCCATCAATGTCACTGTCAGAATTATACCTAACAATTATACGTCTTTAATAGTGGCTTGATTTTTAGTAAATTGAGAAAGGATAAGAAGACTTTTGGTTGTTATAATGATTTATCCATATTTAAAGTAAACTGGTTAATCGTAAGTGAACATGAAACAAAATAAAACTACCAATAATAGTTTTGTAAGTGAAAATTATTCAAAGAACCTCCCTACAAACGAAGAAACAGTAGAAGTAAAGAAATCTCAAGGTTTACACGATGTCAAGTCCACGACTGAGACAGCGTATGAATTATTCTTTTGGTTTTTCGATTATGCAAAAATGTTTATTGCGCGACTGTGTAAAGATCTTTATCGATCTGCTCTAAGGTATTTTTACGCCGATCGTGTCTTACCAGAACACATTGTTCATTTAATGAAAGTTCAGTTAGAACTCTACAAAGAACAAACATCGCATACAGCCTCATACAGCAGGTATAAGGTGAAAAATTGCTCTTTGAATAACCAGTCGTGCGGAAATTAAATTCAAACTATTTCGTTAGTTCCAGAGACCACCGAGAGATGTGCAGCTTTTCATGTTCAGTAAGAAAAATCCTCTCCACACTTAAATATATTTTTTGGAATGAAAATGATATCAGAATTCAATATTCGATTAGTAAAAATCGTACAGCGAACTGCAATAACAACAAAGAACCAACATTCGTCATTGTTGAATCAGAGAGTATTAGCAATCCTAGTTCCAAAGAGATCCTTGTTGAAGATTCAATTCATCATAAAGACACAGTATCAACAAAATATTTTAATACGTATTTAAGAAATAGTAGTGTGCCCTCAACGAGCAAAGAGTCGTCGACACAAAACCAAAATATTAAAGTGTCTGAGTCCAAAGAAGAAGTAGAAATGGTGAACATCAACTTTGAAAGTGAAAATGATATTTCAATTACCGACAGTGACACTGATAATGAATCCATCGTACTTGCGTACATTCGAAATAGAGATGAGGTAATAGAACTAGAAAGTACATTATTAGCAAGTAAAAGGAAAACATCCCTGTTAGAAAGTGTACCTAAAATGGAGACAATAGTTGAAGGACAACGGTTCTCAACACTACTAACAATTTCAAAAAACATCCTCTCCCAAAATCATAGTTCTTCCACTGAACAAGTCTTAAAGGATGAAGATATTTAGGATACAAATATTTGTAAATTAAACAGTCAATAAATACTCTATGATATCTTCTTAATTGTAATTTTGTCGCTTTAAAGATTGAGAAGATTCAGTATATATATGTATGAGAGATAATTAAAAATCAATATCTAATTACTGACAATATTTGATCAATTTTGCATTTACGATGCTATACTGAAAAATAAATTTGTCAGTCCTGTTAGTTCTTGGGTAGCTCAGTGGTTAGAGCAGTCGCACGAATTGCGAAAGGTCATGACCCTTTCACAGCGTGCCAGGTAAAGGTAGATTTTTTAAACTTTTTCATTAAGAATATTTCAATATATAACTAAAGAAGCAGAGTCAGAGCATGGTTATTGCCAAGAAGAAGCGAGAAAGTTTTGGGCTTATTCATCTAAATCGCAATATCACGACGCTCGTAATTGTTGTTGGAAGGCTCGCTCGCATCAATCAATTCATTTCAATCAGAGGAGTAAGAACTTTGCGTTCTTGATTTTTACCTTGGTATTTTTATAAAATATTTAAAAAATACTCAAGAAATTATTAATAAAACAGTTTTATATAGCATATTACTAGAGCTTAAAAATTGTTCACATGCTTAATTTTAATATTATTAATCTTGCTCAATCTACCTGATTCTGAGAGCTGCTACGTCATTATTACCAACTACCCGATATAGATTTTGCCGTATCCCTATCGATATTAGTACAGCCTATAGTCATCACTATAATGATCATCATCATCGTTAATTAGTATCATCAGCCTATTAATAGTTTCTGACGCTGCTGTGATCTGATGCTAAAATCTCACCTAATGAGCCCAGTGCGGTTGGATGGGTCTTAACGACTGCAGACGCAGCCAGAACCAACGGTTTAAAAGTAACACTGTGCCTTACGATGCACTGAGATAATACCGACAGCGTATACATGGACTTTCGAAAGGCATTCGACAGGGTTGACCATAAAAAACTTTTGGAGAAAATAGCATACAATGGCATACGTGGCAATTTATGGAGATGGTTCAAGTCATACATCTCAAATCGTACACAGAAAGTTGTCGTCGGTGGTTGCGAATCTAACGCAAATTTAATTAGTTCTGGCGTCCCTCAAGACTCGATTTTAGGACCCCTTCTTTTTATATTATTTATAAACGATATCACCGAGTGTTTTAAATTTTCTAAATTCTTATTATATGCTGACGACTTAAAGATATATCACGCTATTCGCAACCACGATGATCACGTTAAGTTACAAAGGGATTTAGATAGATTTACCTATTACTGCAATCGTAATAAATTGAGTCTTAACTTGAATAAATGTAAATCTATCTCTTTTACAAAAAAAAAAATATAAGTAACTTTACATATACTTTATGTGGAAGTACTTTGGAAATTAATAGAGACCTTGGTGTGACATTCGATAGTAGATTAAATTTTGACATACACATTGACACTATTATAACCAAAGCATTCAAAATGTATGGATTTGTTATGCGATCTTGTTATCAATTTAAAAAAGCATCTACTTATTTACATCTATTTAAATCTTTAGTAAGATCTCAGCTAGAATACGGAGTGAGTATTTGGAATCCGTATTATAATAAATATGTGGATGATCTCGAGAGGGTACAGAGAAAGTTTATGAAAACCATGTATGATGCAGACGTGCCCGTGTGTCATATGGAGAATTATTAAAACGGTACCAATTGACAGATTTAAAGTCTAGCCGGCAATACTTGGAAGCCGTTGTCTTATTTAACATGTGTCACAGCGAGTATGACTGTACTGAATTAGTAAATAAAATTAATTATTTAGTACCAAGGCGGGCGCAAACGAGATCTCTGCGTAAACACCAACTGTTTGCTATATCTAAATGTCGAACAAATGCAGGCAAGAGATCTCCAATGCACCGAGTAGCAAAATTTTATAACGATTATTTACAGGACGTGGACTTATTCAATTTAAACAAAACAAAATTCAAAAAGTTAGTTAAAGAAAGAATAAGTGAACTAAATCGCAATGCCATATCATCGTAAAGTAGTATATATTGTCATATTTGTATAGTGTTCTTTTTTGTTAGTAAGTGTTTAGGCTGATAGCATGTGCAACTTTTAACTAGTTATGTAATCTGTGGTTAACGGTGTTGGTTTTGCAATTATGAAACTGTGAACATCATATCTTAAATTATAACGCTATTGTAAAACTGTTTGTTGACCCAAATAAACTAAAAAAAAAAAAAAAAAAAATTAATTTACTAAGTCATCCTATGCAAGATTTGCACAAGGGTCCCTTCAAAAGAACATAAGGCAAACGCAGGTATTACCGCGGTAGTCGAAAATCTGCAGGTATTATCGAAGTATGTGATATAATTGTAGTTTTACTCAAAAATTTAAATTTTTATGAAAGATCAATTTATATTCGTTTGAATGGACCCGTGGCACACTATACACAACAAATCAGAAAATCAAAAAAAACGATTAGTTTGCGTCCAGCCAGTGCCAGAGCATGACATACGAAAAAATTAGTTTCTATTAAACAGATATTTATTTATTAAGATTATCAAGGATATTAAATGTGATACACAAGTGCCATTGTAATAATAGTAGTAGGTAATAAGTCCGTAATGTAGTGATTTTGATAAAAAACTTTATCAGAGTAAAAAATTTTTGATTGAAACTAAGAATAGCCAATAATTAGTGTTTTACTAAAGGTTTTGTACGGAACTTTTAATATTTTTTTCTTTACATATTTCCGCATTAACTATCTACATATTTACAGATTACAAAAGTTCAAACCTCTACGTATCAGAAAATATATATTAGTAACTGTTTTTACGATCGGAAATTCTTATTTCGAAGGTTTAAACCTTAAAGCCTTGATTTTACACGGTAATACCTGCATTTACCTTATTCACAATACAAAAACTTTCATTCGTGCAAGCTTCTATACGTAGTAAGTACATAACAAAGTCGCTTGCCACTTTCTATAGGTACGCTGAGATCTCATTAATATACAAAGTGATTCATGAGAAAGGTTTATGTGTATAATTCCGGACCACGCGAGTGAAGCTGCTGGCGGAAAGCTAGTTTATTTATATTTTTACTAAATATTTATCTAGTAAAAAAAAATCATATCGTGTAATATTGTAACGTAATATTCTGAGAATAAACAAATAGATTCTCATTAATTTACATTTTCAGTTGATTTCATATTTATGTTTCTATTTTCGTAATATTCAGAAATCTCCGAAGATTCATTGGATGTTCATATACCGTCGTACCCACCAACTCCACGATCGATAAATATTGCTTCCGAAGAATCAATGAGTTTGATCGTACAACCAGAAAAATTAACCGCTGCCGTGGAATTTCTTCATCGGGATAGTAAATTTCTAGAAGCAGCTGAAACAGGAAATGAAAAATTGCTTGAAATTTTGTTAAGGTAATTAATTGAATTGCAGGGCCTTTATTCTTACTTAGAATTAAAAAAATCTACTCAACAACTATAAATATAAAAAAAAAACTTCAAAAAAGCTTACGAAGATAAAAGACAATGCATATCTAAAAGGCTGACATTATATTTCACGCTTATTTGGTTTTATTTTCGTGTCGTGCCGTGTCGTTTTTTGTGCATTCAAGCGGAAAAATGTGTATTAATTCGTGACATAGCTCCAGGAATCCCCAGATAGAACTCGAACCCACAACCTTTCTCAATCCATCTCGGGGTACCTGGGCACTAATTATAAAAAAAAATATTATTTTAGTACAGGTGTAAACATACAACAAACAGATCATCTCGGTCGCAACGCACTCCATTTAGCGGTGTGTTCCGACAGCCACAAATCCATAACGTTACTATTAGAAGCAGGCGTTAATACCAACGTCAAAGACAATCTTGGCATGACTCCGCTATCTCTATGCTTGATGAGAAGGTATCGCCAAATTATAATTCAAGTTTTATTATTCAGTAGAATATCCTATGATGTAGACACATATCGCAAAAAAAAACTTCCCGAAATAAAGTTCTCTGTTTGTATTTTATTTTTTCTGGTCTCATAAAAATATTTATTTTTTAATCTTGAGTGTGTGATTTATTTTTTAATATGGCTGTATTTGCAATTTTTCTAACGTTATGTTTGAAAAATTAGGATTGCCGTAAACTCGAGGGACTAGCATAGCCTTTCATCCTGCTAGCTCTCTATTCAACATATCATTAAATACTTAAAAGTGATTTTTTATTACGTCCTTAAAAAGTAAAAATAATATCTTTAGATTTTTATGTTTTCAGACCTGCACTGCAAGTAGCGAATCTTTTATTTGAGTATGGTGCCATGATATTATCACGCAGTTCTCATATGGATACTGGCTTATTCATACGTAATTATATTCGTAGTACTCTCGTAGTAATTGATTCTATATAATCAAAGCTCGTACCGTTATTAAATAACTTCATAGTTTCAAATAGAGTTATTTATATCTATGATTTAGGTACTTTTTTTATCGGAAGTTAAAAATATTTATTTGCTCTCTTTTGGTAGATTAAAATATGTTTGAACGAAAGGACATAACAGCGGCACTATCGGTACCACAGTATGTCAATTTATCGCTGACTGTACAATAACAAGTGAGTGATGAGTATTGACTGGTTTTGACAATCCAGCAGCAGGTACAGTCAACAGTACGTCAGGTTATACAAATCTGTAAAACTCCTCTTGAAAATTAGCCTTAATGCATTCTGATGCAATCTAACGTGCTACTGTGTGTACCTCATTTTTTTACAGCAGTCGCCTGGATTGCCAAATATTATGGGTTCAGATTCGATCTGAGACTATCGAGTTTTGTCAAAGCGAAATTAAATTACAAATATTAATTCTATCTACGAGTCTATTCGATCAAATCAAATCAAATAATGGTCCAAAATAATAGAAAACAAATTATTATTATTATTTATTTTGGACTTCCGATTATCTATCATAACCTTTCTCGAATTTGATCAATTTTGCGTTCTATGCTATATTAATATTTATCATAAATAAATCACATATCGGGGAACTAGAATGTAAAGCGCTTTTCTTTAAGATATATAATATTTTTCTTTTCTAGAGTTCGTGATGATGTGTACACCTACCCCGGAAGAAGCTAAAATCTTGCACCTTCTCGTTGACAAAGGAGCAGTTGTCAATGACACGGAGGCCCCGGGTGGAAGGCAAGCCTTACATTTCGCTGCCATGAGCAACAACTGCGATCTCATACGAATCCTTATTGATCTAGGAGCCGACATGTATATGCTAAACCACAGGGGTGAAACCCCAAATGAAGTCGCCGCAACATTTCGATGTAAAAAAGCTCATAGTCTATTA